TGGGATATCACAGCTGTTTGTTGTGACTGAGGTTAAGTGTCTCTTGTTTCTTTATGAAGGATTTTTTAGAACAAAATTGAGATAGTTGTTTAAATTCAATAAAATTTTACTGGGGCAGAGATTGGTTGTAAATAAAATTAAGTTGTGAAATGTTGAGTGAATGATATACATGTGGAGGTAATGACAATAAATCAAACACATCTCTCAATCACGCACACCTTAGTAAAACATGGAACTAGGTTGTGATAAAATAGTAAATAAATCCTAGCAATCAGATGTGTATACTCTGCAGACATCAATCAAGTGTAAGATAGAGAAATATGCTGATATTTAATCATAAGGGACAGGAAATTGCTGTGGAAATAAAAAAAATAGAATAAGTTTTAAATTCTAAGATGAATGGTGAAATATCTGTTTCACAATCACTGAGTAAACTTCATAACCCAATACAATGGTATGAAGGCATGAAATCTAACATTTAGAATAATTACACTGCTCAGGTCTTTCACATTTACATTTCAAGTGTAATTCAAAATTAAAGATAGAAAATTGATCAATTTGTACTTGTCATAAACACATGGATTCATACACTTATCCATAAATACAAAGCTAGGAATGATGTTAAAAGAATTCAGTATTCAGGATTAAAAAAAGAAGCAAGATAGTAATATAATAATGACAGATAACTGTGTAATGTTGTAAATCATCTTTAATATTAAGTTCAGTTGGTGTTCGGGATGTAAAACTTTCTAATAAGCAGTAGTATCATATGGTATTTATTAGCCTTTCATTGGCAGTATCAACCTTCTGTCTACAAATATATACATGTGAGCAAATTGTGTTCATTTTTTAAAATCACTAAACGGAAGTCGACATTTATCACTATCGTTTGATGACAGGAAATCAAGATGTAAGCGTTAAGAATATAAGATATATGGTTCAGCCTTTGATGTTTGGGAGGAATCATTGTTAATTTGTTCCTGTTTGCAATAACCTAATGACGAGAATATTCATGTATCGGTATAACAACATTAGTTAAATCAAACTGAACACATCATTAAGATCCGTTTGTGATAATTATATCTATTTGTTGTAATTATCCTAATGTCATTAGGGAAATAATTCGGGTCACTGTAGTGAGTCATATAACATCTGTAATATATATATGTTTATGTCGTCATATGTTACTGAGTTGAGGTTTGAGGAGAATATATGGATGTAATTGGATAACACTACATGTTATAGTGAGGGGTAGGGGTTAAGTGGTAGTGTACAGAATTTAGCCACGGACTAAAGCATTTACTCACAGATCCAAAGATTTGGAAGAGGTAGATGTTTGGAGGTAGGGAAGGAGGAAATTAGGATAAATTGTCGTGGTTTGGTGATTCTGAGGGCAGGGAGGGGAAAATTAGGATAGAATGTCATGGTTTGGTGATTCTGAGGGTGGGTAGGGGAAAATTAGGATAGAAGGTCATGGTTTGGTGATTCTGAGGGTGGGTAGGGGAAAATTAGGATAAATTGTCGTGGTTTGGTGATTCTGAGGGTGGGTAGGGGAAAATTAGGATAGAATGTCATGGTTTGGTGATTCTGAGGGTGGGTAGGGGAAAATTAGGATAAATTGTCATGGTTTGGTGATTCTGAGGGTGGGTAGGGGAAAATTAGGATAGAATGTCATGGTTTGGTGATTCTGAGGGTGGGTAGGGGAAAATTAGGATAGAAGGTCATGGTTTGGTGATTCTGAGGGTAGGGTTTGGTGATTCCAAGGGTAGGGAGGGGAAAATTAGGATAGAATGTCATGGTTTGGTGATTCTGAGGGCAGGGAGGGGAAAATTAGGATAGAATGTCATGGTTTGGCGATTCTGAGGGTAGGGTTTGGTGATTCCAAGGGTAGGGAGGGGAAAATTAGGATAGAATGTCATGGTTTGGTGATTCTGAGGGTAGGGAGGGGAAAATTAGGATAGAATGTCATGGTTTGGTGATTCTGAGTGTAGGGAGGAGAAAATTAGGATAGAATGTCATGGTTTGGTGATTCTGAGGGTAGGGAAGAGAAAATTCAGATGACATGTCAAAGTTGATGACTCTGTGGAATACCCTTTGTTCTATTTTATTCTTATAAAGTACAAAGGTATGCTAAAGGTCTAAAAAACATAGTCTTAAAAGGATCCCTAAACCTAAATGATAAAGGGTTTTATGAGACTCTATTCCAACAATTTTTGTTTATCATGAGTGTCAAGACATGTGTGTGACAACACATTGAGGAAATAACTTAGACTTTATTTATTTCATAAATCAATATATCTATTAATGACCTGGCTTACCACAGCATAATATATATCCTGACAACCCTTTTAAAATGATTAAACTAATCTATATCAAAGGAAGACAAAACCAAGGATTAAATTAAAGGGTCGAGTGTATGAAATAGTAAACAACAGCATGTGAATATCCCTTTGTTTAGTATACTTCTATCTTACTATTCCTGAATTAATGCATAAAGGTGGTGACTAAGGTAAATCTCTAAAATTCCAAATATTTCTCATGTAAACAGAAATATTTGATCAATGTCCTTGTTCATGGAGTATAAATGACTGATGATGGAAATTTATAGACAAGCAAACACCTTCTTAATGTTACGACCTTAAGGACAAATTAATCATTGTTGTGATATCAACAGAATAAAATTTCTTTAACAAAATTGGGAAATATTCTAAGATAAGTCCCAATGAATTCATCAAGTGAATATATTTAGCAAAAATTTGGACATGAACGAAAGTAAAAGTCAAAACTAAATATGAAAATTCTTTTATTGGGTGACAGTAATTGGCAAGCAGCTGGTGCTCTGATCTGTCGAAATTGTTTAATAAGTTTAGATCACAAAAATAAAAGATTTTTGTTGATTCATGCGTTAGCTTTGTATGTTTGTCGTCAGTACTACTTGAAATCTTACATGTTACCATAGAGATTTTGTATGTGTTATCAGTTGTTCTACATGCTATGTATAATCACCTTGTTATGTACATGGAGACATCAGTCTACAGGTTACCTTCGATCCTTCCCATGTTACCTGAAACCTTGACTCGTCACCTGTGCATCTGTCTTATTACATAACCATCTGTCATCACCTGTCAGGTTTCGCCTTCCAATAGAATCATCACAGGTACTTAACTGAGGTAAAACTGTCCGCTAACATTTTCTCGTTAAATTTTCTCTAGGAAGGATAGGTAATTAAAAAAAAAATCATTTCTGATTTTAACATTTCAAGAAAATAAACAAACAATTCAAATGTATCACAAAAAATACTAATAAATACTTTCTGATGGAGTTGGGTGGGCTTCCTCCCTCTCTGTGCAGCACACACTTCCTGACAATAAATATTTCGTAATCTACCCTTTGCATGGAAGGCAATGTAACAGTTATGTAATTACAGTGGTAGTGAAATGTAAGGATCTACAATATATAGACAGGTGATGAACATGGGATCTGGAATCAAAGGGAAGTAGATATGTCTAGAAACAGCTACAACAAGTCAGTACTCAAGTTTGGTTAGCTTTTTTCCTCATGTGTCATTTGAGCTTTCTTTGTATAGTTCAATGTTAGCAGATTATTCTGAAAAGAGATAGCATCATTCAAAATTTTGTCAATCTTTTTTAAACAATTTGTTCAGTTTAACATGAAATCTTTCAAAGTCTTGTGTAAAATTCCTTTCTATGTTGCAATTTCAAGATGACTGGCCTTTTACTTTTATGAGAAGCACTGAAGCTTGCTTAATTTGGCTTGGTGTTTTGACGATTGTCTGCAGTGTTAAGTTGATAATTTGATGGTGATTTGTGTAAAATTTCAAGGTTATTAAGTGTCTATATGATCATAAGAGGCGAGTATCCACTTTTGGGGGCAGTTTCTTTCTCCATTAAGTATACTAAGATATCAGCAAAGCAATTGAACTTTTTTTCACACTTTGACTTCAGTTACATGTTTTCTAGTACAAGGTAGTCATATGATTTAATTCTGAGCTATCAGAATTTTGTGGTAGGTAAACAAGCCATGACTATCTTGACATCCTCTAGAATACTCTCTCTCATAAAAAATGTGCTGACAAAAACTACAAACACTACTTACATTACCAATTGTTAGGTGAATCATAAGTATTTCAGAATTCATATTTCTGAACATAAGGAATAATTTAAGAACCATCTTTAACAGGAAATATGTGCATATCTGGTATAGTTGTTGTCCTGTAATAAGCCCACCCCCTGACCTTTAGTAAGAGGTAACATGTTTTGCCTCCGAGGTCCTGTAATAAGTCCAGCCTCTGACTTTTAGTTTGAGGTTATGTGTTTGGCCTCTGTGTGTTTGGCCTCTGAGGTCCTGTAATAAGCCCACCCCCTGACTTTTAGTTGGAGGTTATGTGTTTGCTTATAGCAGGATAAATTTGGTAACTATATAAAATGTATCAGGTGGTAAAATCTACCAAATATTCCAGTCAGGTTTAAACCAGGTGTTCCCCACAATATGACTTCACAATATAAAGTTATGTGTGAACTCTCACCTCAGCAGCTGTTTATGACCATCATGTGCACCAAATATCAGCCATATTACACCACAATACTACAGTTCTGTGTCATTTGTGAATGACATTGACATTACACACAGGAAAATGTCAACTTTTGTCCATTTGAGCTTCTACTTATAAATAACATTACAAAGTAAATTAACATGTTAACCTGTATAATGGAAACTATAGAGAACATCGGGCAATTTTTATTGTAAGGATTGTGATGGAAAATATACTTCAAACAGATAGAGGTTGTAAATCAAACACAATGTTGCTGTTTTGTGAAATATTTTCATATATGTGTATCATTTTGGGGTTTATTTTTTGCAAATATCCTTATGTGAATAATAAAGTTTGTCATATGGAATAAACGCGTAATCATCAAGTTTGCATGTTGTAAGACATAGGTCTGCCTTTACTTATGAATACGTACTTCTGTGTATTGCAGGCATATCTTCGGGAGGGTGTAGCGCTGCAGCACTTGGGACAACATGGAGACGCGCTGGCCGCTCTCTCCTCAGGTCTGGCTCAGGACTCGGCCAATACCCAGTTACTCGCAGGACTCGTGGATACCGCCCTAAAGTCCCCTCTCAAAGGTATCATTACACTTCAGTAAAAACAACAAAATATAACACAATAAGTTTTTATGTAATTTAAGAGTGGTATAATTATCACAAGATATAGCTGTCAGCTGCAAGTGCTGATTTTACATATACATGTAATTTGACATACAAATCAAAAGAGAAAACTTCAAATTTTGTATTTATAGTAAAATTGATATCATTTATATGGAATTGAAAATTCTATACATATGCTGAAGAGATATGCTGAAGACTGAAGAATATTGAGAAATACCTTTATGGCAAAAATTAGAGAACAAAACATTTATGTGATTTTTTTTGCATTACAGAAAAACTTGGACCAGTATTTCACCAATTACAAAAATTGAAATTGAACCAAAGTCCATTTGTTATCATCTCTGTGATTGGTCAGGAATTACTGGCATCAGGTCACTACAGTGCTTCTGTAACAATGTTGGAGGCTGCACTGACCATTGGAACCTGCAGCCTCAAGCTGCGGGGCTCAGTGTTTTCTGCTCTCAGCAGTGCATACTGGGGCATGGGCAAGATAGACGGAGCCATCACGAACATGCAGCATGATTTGTCTGTAGCAAAATCACTAGGTAGGTATACTTCGAGGGAATAGTCACCTTTATTGGTCAAGTACAGTTTTTGGTGTAGCAGCCATCAAGTCATAGATATAGTCACTTGTCTTCAAGGATTGTGTGAAGGTCATACCAACAGTTATCTTTAAAGGGCATCCATTATCTTTTAAAGTTCTAGGTAAAACCATTTGTAAATTTCATTGTTCTTGGTTAAAAAAAGAGATCTTACATTGAATTTTATCAAAATGTGAAAACGATGATTATCATTGGAGCCCAAAGTGATTCAACCTTGTGGTAATGTGTCTCCTTCTTTCCCCCAGACACCTTTATGTTGAATTAACAGTATCTGACCACTTTTATTTTAATTAAGTCTACTTCATATCCCAAGGCTCCTGTGTTTTTACCATGTTTCCTTGTCAAAAAAAGTATTGCAGTTGTGACTTGTACAGAATTCAGTTCTAAGTTTCCCTCTTTCCAAAGGCCCCTGTGTGGTTTTTTTTACTGTTCCTCCTCCATTAGTAGTCAGTTCTGAGTAAGACAAACTTGAGTAATAAATCTGCTCCCTTCCCAAGGCTCTTGTGTTTGTTTAACTTCTTTTATCAGTTCTGCATTGTCTAGACACAGTACTGTAGTCTCACCTGAAATGTCATCAGTGCTATCTAATGCTTCGGGGCAGATAACTTCTTACATGAGATAACAACTCCATTTTACATTTTAAGTTGTGGGGTTTTATAAAAAGTAACTATACTTTTTTTCTCCTTGTCTTTAATGAGTCAAAACTAAAGAGAAGTGGCAAAAACCTCTTCATCTACCCCCAGTACATTCTTTTAATTTGATAAGAGAACTTATTGGACATTCAATAGTACATTTCTGAACAGGTTTCTATAAATATGTGTTGTTATTAAAATATATACAGACAAGTTTCCATAATTAATTAACAAATTAAGATGTCTTTTTTCACATTTGTCTTTAGGATGATAGTTTTCACTGATGCCCTTGTATTGATGTGAAGAAAAGATGGTTGTTATCGGAATAAAGGCAATGTTTGGGACTCGTTTGATATGTCATACTGTTAAATAAACTTCAGCCAAATCACCCAAAGAATAATTTGACATTGTGTTATTAGTATAATTTTCATTTGTTCCATTTTCATATTAATTTTGACAAAGCCTCTTTTTATTGTAAACTGGGTTTAAGTAGGTACACATACTGATAGAACATACTTAGGTGGGTTAATTCAGGGTAGATTTAATACTATATCCCCTGTATCCTTAGCAATACCCAAACTCTGTACTACCCGAGCGTTAAAACGTCCTGATGGTCCCGAGATAAAACCAAGTCAATCTATGGTCGATATACTTCAAATTAACATTGACGTGAGGTATTTGCATCTAGGGAAAGCTATGAGCACGATATTTACGAACGGAAAGGATGTCTTTATGGGACCATTGACCATTTTAGCCATGCTTCTTTACTCACCTGTGTGATCGGGTCAACTATACAAATTCACAAAACATTTCTAGCTTTACTTCTGATATTGATGTCTATGTAATGGGTAAGATAAACTTATTTTAATGAATATTGTTATCTATCCTTGTGATGTTGTTAGGTATTCCAACATTCCTTAAGACAGTTTAAAGATAACCAACAGAAAAATTAGGATAGTTTGCTGGTGAATTCAAATACTAGAGTATAATATCCTTTTGGAGAAAAATATGATGTAAATAGATTTCAATTTTTCTGTTATTTATTTTTTATTATCTTAAGACTTAAAAATTAACAACATTGATAAAGGTTTACAACGTACACTATTAATGCACTAATTCTCTATCCCAGAGTGTGTTAATCTTTTGTGAATCCAATAGTATAAACCAGTGATTTTCGACAAAAAATTTCCTAAAATTCCAGAAATGTTTGTTATGTAGGATATAATAGAGAATGACTTGCATACAATGGGATCTATCTGTTACATAATGAGCTCAATTGTCACACTGTTAAAATCACACAGATGTTTAAACATTTGTCTTATTCCTCTGTCAACAAAGATATTCCTGAGAAGATTTGGTAGAATTCTTTACAAAGCATGAGGACTTTGAGCAGGAAAATAATCAGTTTAAGAAATATTATCAATAGAAGAAGTCTTCCCTTTAACATATACTTATCTATGTATACAATTGTAAAAGTTCCTGGGTTTAAATAGAGCAAGAAAAATGCTCGCTTAAATACTAGCAATAGCTGAATACAAATTTTTAAAATATTGACATTCCAATAGAAGTCACCCTGAATGGACTTTAAAGATTATACCCATGTAGGTATAATGTACATCACATTGACTAGCTCTATTTATCCTTCGTGTGAAAGATGGGGATAAACTGACGTGTTACTACACCCCCTGATCTCCGTAAACAGAACAATCCGGCCATGAAAACCGAGAGACATTGAGTCGTAGTAATCGCGTGGAGATCAGATGGAAGTGCGATAACAAGCTGACATGTACCCGTACCCACACCTCCAATCCATTGTTTCTACTTATGTTGTTGTAACAAGGCTAGCTAATGTAACAAATAGGTAGCGCCTCTTTTACTACTCTGACAGACGACAATACCTTTCTTTGATACAGACGCCTACAGGAGTGATATATGCTTGTTCAGGCTCGTAAGACAGATGGCGACTTATTTCCGTTTTCCTGTTCAATGATAGATCAGATGTATCTTTCTTTGTTGATCAAATTATTCTGTACGAGTATAGGTAAAAGTTTCCTGGCAACTTTTTGACAAAATTTGGACAATTATGAAATTCAAGATGCTTGTTTGAATATAAGAACCTGTCTGTCACCTGCCATTAAAACTGACTGTATTGTTGTATTTATGTTGTATTTATGTTGTACTCTGTTCCACTCCTGGATAATTGGATCAATTTGTTTAACTATTGTGTCAATAAATCAGTTGTAATAGAATTAAAGGGTCCAACTCACCAGTAAGTTTTTAAAATCTCTTTTATCGTCTGAAAAACCAATCAGAATTGTCTACATTTTTTCAAATCAAACGTGCCTGATAAAGAAAGAGCTACCTATTGTAATGTTTAAAGTTAATTGAATGGGGCCCAATAAGGTCAAGAATTTGTGAAATTCTGGATTGATAGCCAGTCGATTTGGAGATTAGAGTTATCTGAGTGAGTCAGTCCAGTATGCAAATTACAGTTTAATGAAGCGTTTGTATGGAGGAGACTACGAAGAATGCATGTTATATAGTGTTCAACTATTGACATGGAGTTTGAATTGAATTATTTAGGCAAATGAGATGTTAAATGTCAAACAGGTTATTTAAATTTAAAGTAAAAAGAAGTGATGTATGTTTATACGTTTTACAGTAAATATAGAAATGTTGAGTATGAGTAATGAAATTTCAATAAAAAGATGCTGTAATTCTAAAGTACATAGTGAATTAAAGCACCTTGAAACTGCTGTGATTTAATCATTAAATAAGGGCTGTATTACCAGTTACTGATTGATCATTGAAACATAAAAACTTTATCAGATGTGTGAAAATATTTACACAAAAGGCAGTGAAGTATGACATTTCACATGTAAAAGTATGACTGAAATTGTCCAGTCAATGGTTACCATGGCAATGTCTGCCAGAATTCAAGGCTGAAACAGTAAAAGGAACTGATGTTTTGTATAGATTTACCCTAGTACTCAACAGGTACCAAGACAGGCACTGAAGTCTGTAAAATGTTAAATGGTATACAACATTTCTGAAATTCCTATAATAAAAATTAAAGCATAATTATTTATTTCTACAGGTGACTTGGAGGGAGAGTGTCGGGCTCACAGTAATCTAGGCTCTGCCTACTTCTCCAAGGGACACTACAAAGAGTCCTTGACCAATCACAGATTCCAGCTTGCCTTGGCCATGAAGCTGAAGCATCGTGATGCCGCTGCAGCAGCACTGGGGAGTCTTGGGCATGTCTACACTGCAATCGGAGACTACCCAAATGCACTCAACAGCCACAAGCAGTGTCTTTTCCTCATGAAACAGTGTCATGATAAGTTGGCAGAGGCCCGTGAAATAGGAAATGCTGGTGCGGTATATTTAGCGATGGGAGAGTTCGCTCATGCAATAGAGTGTCACAATAAACATTTAGAAATTGCCAAAAGTTTGAAAAATGCAACAGAGGAAGCAAGAGCATATAGCAATCTAGGAAGTGCATACCATTATAGACGTGATTACGAAAAGGCTATGTCCTTTCATAAACATGTGTTAAGAATCGCAGAATCAAAGACAGATCAAGTGTTAGAGGCCCGAGCCTATGCAGGGCTTGGTCATGCCGCGAGGTGTATGCAGGACTACAGCACAGCGAAAAGTTACCATGAGAAACAGCTTGACAATGCCCTTCAGACCAAGGACAAAGTAGCTGAAGGTCGTGCTTGCTCAAACTTAGGAATTATATACCATCAGTTGGAAGATCATAAGTCAGCCCTAAAGTTACATGAGGTGCATTTAAAGATAGCCAAAAACCTTGGTGATCGTGCTAGTCAAGGTCGTGCATTTGGTAACCTTGGTAACGCCTTTTGTGCTATGGGGTCGTTTGAACAAGCAATCAAGTATCACAGGCAGGAGTTAAACATTTCATCCGAGGTAAATGACCGCCACTCAGAGGGCACAACGCATGGTAATCTGGCAGTGGCTTACCAGTCTATAGGGAGTTATGACAAAGCCCTACAGCACTACACAGCACACCTCAGTATCTCCCGTGAACTCAAGGACACTGTCAGTGAAGCCAAGGCTCTCTGTAACCTTGGTAACTACCACAGTTCACGAGGGAACCATGGAAGTGCTGTGAAATACTATGAGGAATACCTGAATCTTGCTCAGGAGCTCCTGGACTCTGAGGGTGAGGCGAAAGCCTGCTTCAGTCTTGGATATGCTCATTTCGCACTTGGCAACCATTTGGAGGCCGTCAGATATTATGAACAAGACTTATCTATAGCACGTGAACTTAAAGATCAAATGGGCATTGCCAGGGCCTACTGCAATCTGGGGCTGGCCCACACAGCTCTTAAAAACTTTGAGGATGCTTTAGAGTGCCAGAAAAAATGTTTAACTATGATGAAGAGCATGAAAAACACCAAAGGAATTTTCAGGGCACTCGGCAATATTGGTGATATTACTTTAAAGACTGGTGAAACTGCTGAAGCAATCAAGATATATAATCAGCAACTACTTCTTGCCAAACAATGCAATAGTAAAGACCTTCTAGGTGGGGCGTATGGGGCCCTGGGGGCAGCACATCGAGTGTTAGGTCAGTTTGATAAGTCTCTTGGTTATCACACACAGGAGTTATCCATACGACAGGATATGAATGACCTTCGTGGTGAGTGTCGTGCCCACGGAAATATTGGAAATGTTCATATGTCTCTTGGGAATTATCAAAATGCATTTAAGTGTTACGAGGAACAACTTGAAAAAAGTCGCGAGTTGCAAGACAGTGCTTTAGAAGCACAAGCGTCAGGTAACCTTGGCATTACTAAAATGAACATGGGGATGTATGAGGATGCTATCGGTCAGTTTGAGCAGCAGTTAGCCATGCTGGAACAGGTCAGTGGTATCTTCAGTAATCATGACAAAGGTAGAGCACTTGGTAACCTTGGTGATTGTTATGAAGCACTCGGAGATTTTGAAGAATCCATAAAATGTCACAACCAGTATTTAGCAATATCACAACAGACCAACAATCTTTCAGACCAGGATAAAGCCTATCGAGGACTTGGTAATGCTCACAGAGCTGTAGGCAATTTACAGCAAGCTTTGGTGTGTTTCGAAAAGCGACTTGTTGTCGCTCATGAACTCAACAGTTGTACAGCTAAGGCTTCTGCATACGGGGAGCTGGGTTGTTTGCACAGCTTGTTGGGTAACTTTGAGCAAGCCATAGCATGCTTGCAACACCAGTTGACAATTGCCACGGAGATGAATGACCAGATGTGTGAGGGCGAGGCTGCATGTGGCCTGGGAGGTGTGTACCAACAGATGGGAGACTATGACAAAGCCCTGGAATATCACGAGATGGATCTACGTATCTCCGAATCATCCAACAACAAAGCATGCCAATGTAAGTATCCTGAGGTTGATCAGGAGTACAAGACATTTCAATGTGAATTCATATTGGTTGATATTGGGTATTAAGGACATACCATTGTGGGTTCTTATTGGTCGATAGTAAGTATTAAAGATAAGTATATATATGTGAATTCTACAGGTCGAAGTTATCAAGTACAAAGTATGTGAGTGTAAGTACCTGTAAGTTAGAAATAGGCACAAAACATGTCAAAGTATCCGATGAGGAAATGCTATAGTCAGCTATAATGAGTTTAAAGCATACTATTTTCCATACCTTATATGTTACACAAGTCAGTAGATTACAGTAGAAAACACTAGGGATTTTATTTATAACTTTCAATTCAATAAATGAAAAATGGTAAGGTAATATTGTGTGGTCTGGAAGAAAGGGTATGATTAATTGACACTATAGATAGCAGTGTGTGTAGTTTAGTGTATTCTATTGTGTGGTATTATGCTCGTCCCTGGACTACTTTGATAAGTTTGTTATGTCCCCTGGACTGCGGAGGCTGGCCCACCTGTCCTGTAAAACTCTGTGGGCCACCATTGTGTGGTGAGCCATACACGGAGATGTATAGACAGTCACACACTGAGGTGTTCAATAATGTTATTTTACTACATATTTACAGACCATGCATCAATAAGTATTGCAGTGAAATGATAACTGACAGATTCTATACATAGATAAAAAGATACAAACACTGTTTGAAGTGTGGGAATGCGTGCTAACTATACATCTGCCAAGAATCTGTGTATATTCTCTCTAATATCTTAATGGAATAAGTTTATTATAAATATGCTTTTTTTCAGAAATAAATAGGTTTTCATCTGCAATTATAAAACTGATTAAGCCGTCTAAGATGATGTCATGTCACAAAACTGTGGGAACCTCCACAGATCTGTGTACATTGTCGGAGAATCACATCGGATACTTATGTAGACCATCTTGTAGTGTGATGTCGCAGTCTTATATAGTCCAATATTATGGGCTCTGTATTGGGGTATTTTGGTACCAAAGGTAGGCTTTGAACATGTTATTGTGAAAAAACTTATGTAAGGGACAATTTGGGTTTTATATGTCATGATTTGGTCATATTTCAACAAGAGGGTTTAAAATTGTCATAATTCAGTATGCATACTTAAATGTTAATTGATGCAGAATTCAGTTTTTGGTTTCTGGGTATTCTTATTGAATGACTTGTTACCATCATGTCTTTGTTTGTCTTAATTTTCATCTGATGCTTAGTTTTGGAATTTTTTAGTCCATTTAGAAAGCTTTCCAATGTTCCTAGTAGTTAAATGTACATGGCTATATGTGGCTCTGCTTATATTATAACATATGACCTTTTTGTAATTCCTACAAGAAAGACTCTTAAAGTTCCTTGTGCAAATGGTTTTGACCAGTCTGCTCATCAGTCATGAAAAAAAAGAGAATCAGGTATTTCTATGGATTCAAACAAAAGTGCTGGATATTGTTCTAGCTGTTGGATATATCTCTGGTTTTGTGACAGATTCGTCTAGAAGGCACAAAAACTGTCTTGTATCTTCAGGAAAGTATCGTAGTTTCCAACTGAAAAACAAAAGACTTGCAACACCTCACCAAGTTACAATATTTATTGCATATATATGTTTTGTGTTTTGAAAGTTAGGATAGATAAGTACATTTGTGTAAAAGGTTTTAATTTACAATATATCTTTTTGCAGATACTTTCATTATGCTTGGACTTCTCTTTCAAATTTGATAAAAAGTAGGGAACGGTTTTATATAATATCGACAAGTGTTGATGTATTTGCCGTTTTATTTGACAGGTCGTGCCTATGGAAACCTCGGGCTATCCCATGAGTCTCTAGGTAACTACAAGGAATCAATCCAGTATCAGGAACAACATCTAAGCATCGCCGCAGAGATGAATGACAGTGTCGCCAGAACTCTTGCTTATAGTAGTTTAGGTGAGTTGTTAGTGTTTCCATAAACTGTATTTCAAAAATGATAATAAAGCTTAACTGATTTAGGAGCTGAATTACTCAGCTTTCTTTAAAATCATACATTTGTTAAATCGAAGTATATTAACGTATAACAAATAACAAAATTATTTATTTTAACCCCAGGTCGTGTGCACCATGCCCTCAACAACCATACAGAAGCCGTGGATTATCTACGTCAGGGGTTACGCATCGCCGAACAACTGGGCAGACATGAGGATGAGGCTAAAATTCGACATCGCCTTGGCTTGTCACTTTGGGGTAAAGGTGACTTGGAGGAGTGTCAACAACAGCTGTACAAAGCATCCGATCTGTTTGAGAGTATACGACGTGACTCACAATTCAATAGTGAATATAAGATGTCCTTGTTTGACCTTCAGACAGCGTGTTACCAAGCGTTACAGGTCAGTACTTCAGCAACCCTCAAATAGCCAGTTGATGTTTTCCTAATTACAATTATTCAAATTTTTTGGTGCAAGTACTTCTTTTGCTTATTTGACCAAAAGTCCATGTGTATTCATCTTTTCCCCAAAAAACATTGCTAAAGCAAAATGGGATATATGCCTGTTTTGATTTTATCTAATTTTTACTGAATTGTGTGATTGTAAATGAAATCTATCTAAAATTCCATTAACATTGTTTACAAAAGTAGAAATGGTTTTAAGGTATAAACCTGCTTTACTATGTTCATATAGTTTTCTTTATTTTGAGATGTTTAATGTATTGATAATTAGCTTATGATGAAATACTTGGTCAGAAACAGCAGTAATTAAGAAAACAGTCATGTATTTCACTTATTTTAACATGAAAGAAAACTTCTGAAGGCAAATATTTCTCACTGTTACATCAGGAATCCTAGAAAGTAGATTTGCTGATGAAGTCAGAATTCTTCCCATGCCAAATTAATACTAACCTTGCTGTGTATTTCTACAGCTATAATGAATTATCCTGTTTTAAATCAGAAACATTCAACAACTGAATGGAGAGTTTGGCACATTCACATACATTTACTCCTACGTATAAAACACCCACAGAGACTAACTGGGGGGATGGGATAAAGTAGTTTTACACAAAGTAACCAGAGATTATTGTTTTTCATAATTGATTTATGAAAAAGTAAGAAATAATGAGAGTTTCATGATGATGTAACTTTGCATACTTACTGTTAATGACAAGTTATTGACTGTGCCAGGACCATTATTAGCTGTGATAGAATGCATGTTACCTAAAGCATTACATTTCTGTTGGGATTTTTTCTCACTTAGACATTTGTACAATAACAGTTTCCTATTAGCAAGCCTCTTAAAACATATTTCCTTCACCATTTTGTCAAGTTATTTGTGTTGGTTTGGTAGAGAACTTGATCATTGTGTTGTGGTCAGTCAGAAAGAGCTTAAATTTAATTTAGTATTAAAGTTCATAAAAACCAATAACATAATCTATCATTATGAAATGCTGATACCTGGTTTTTGCGATGAAATTTATAAGTTAAAGTTCCATATACTCCAATGAATCCTGGTATAAGATTGTACTTGTAGTAGATATCAAAGTATAATGGGTGGTTAGATATTAAAAATGAGCTATTTTATCATTGTGTTTGTAACTCAAAAACTTTAATGAAGGATCAATGCAGTACATGTGTTATATACTTTCTAGAGGGTACTGGTTTCTCTGGGCCAACACGAAGAGGCACTTGTCATAGCAGAACGTGCTTGTACAAGGGCATTCATTGATTATCTACTGGAGCGTCAGGCAGGGTCGGAGGGTTTGTACCGTGGTAATGTAGACCCTCCCCCAATCACCACCGACCAGATTGTCAACATCGTCACCAAACAGAAGTCTCTTGTCCTATACTACAGCATTGCTGCTGGCTATCTGTACAGCTGGCTCCTCACTCCAAAACAAGGTACAACTAAAGTAGTGTGTGATTTATCATATTAAAACCACAATATCTAAAGCTTTAAGATTAATGGCCTTATTAAAGACATAATGACAGCATTGGTAGTCATTATACTAAACTGTAACTAGTGATAAGTGGGTATAAGTCTATTAAAGAATGAGAGTGATAAGGATACATTGGAAAATCTAATTAATTCTTTATTGACAAATAAAAGAAATTTGTTGTCATTGTTACTCTTTCTGAATTTTAATGAAACAAGAAGAAAATATAACAGGGCTAGAATATGAATTAATTAGCTCCTGTTTTAGTTATGATTGAACTATCTCTGTGGCTACGAAGGATGAGTTAAACTAAAAGTCTATTTTAAAAGATAGAAAGTTAACAAAATATCACGGCACCTTCAGCAGCATTGATAGAAGTGTCAAATTTGACCATGTCAGGTTGGAGTATAATTTTGAAGGTGACAGTTTTTATGCTGTTTGTATATGATGATAGGTATTACCTCTAATGTAGAACCCTTTAAGCTGTCCATTAGAACACAGATCAAGCTTCAGTTAACATATTTCATTTTATTGCACTTTTTCTGCAATTGTTATTATTTTTTTCCAGGTATTGTGAAGTTTCACGAGGCAAATATGGCTGACCTGGAGAACATTGATGGGGAATCTTTTAATGACACACTTAGTATGAAAAGTGTTAGTTTCGGATCATCTTCAGTGTTAGACCAATATGTTGGTCAAGTCCGTGAATCCATGGGCATAGACAACTACTCATCCAGGTTAGTATAGTCTCAAAGGCACTCAATGCAGATAGGCTTTAGTGTCAAGGGAGACAACCCTTGTTAAGAAATATGTACCGATATATTTTGTTTAGTGGGCCAAAAAATGAATTTCTGTGACATTGTCATCATCATAAGGTCATTTTTTGATAAATATTGACTATCAATATAACTGATCATTGGAATTCATGGGCCTATAAACTAAAGAATATGTTTGTGTTTTCTTCAGAGCTTCCCTAACATCTAAAGGTGTGAGTTGTGACTCTGACAGTGAGGGAGACGATGTCTGGCAACAACACCTTGAGGAGCTTGGTGACAAACTGAATGCTGAAAATGACCGCACAGGATTCTTACGCATGGTGAATCGTAACCACAAATACAACAGCAGTAACTATAGTTTGAGCAGTCTCTTTAGTCTTTCAGTCAGTATGAATGGCCTCAGCTCCAGTTTTCACTCCATGAACCGCAAAAACAGTCTACGCAATAAAACCAGCAATAACACAAAAGCACCAATCAGCGCCCTGTATCAGCTCCTCATCGAGCCGATGGAGGATGCCTTGACACAGGCCACAGAGGAATGGGGGATGGGCCCAGTGGACCTGGTGCTTGTCCTCCAGGGGGAACTCTACCTCATACCATTCACTGTCCTCCGAAAGGATCAAACAGAGGAATATATGTTTGAACGTTTTAATCTAAGTGTCATGCCTTCAGTAACTGCATTACAAAATGCAAAGAAACAAGACAAACAGGGCCGCCCTGTAATAGACTCATCTGGTGCGATAGTTGTTGGAAATCCTAAGTTGTCTCCAGTCATTGCTCAACATTGGCACCTGAAGGAGATTCCAAGTGCAGAGTATGAGGCAAGGATAGTGAGTGAACTGTTGACCTGCCGTCCCATGATTGGTCAAGATGCAACTAAACCTGCAGTGCTACATCAAATTGAGCAGGTAGAAGTTGTGCATTTCGCTACTCATCTGTCCTGGAAACTTGCCTCCATAGTTCTTTCACCAGGTGATAATATATCTACAGCCCATCGATTTCCAACGATAGACTCGGATGATAGTTCAAGTGATATAGGTGGCTTTGATGGACCTGCTCTGTCTGAATATCTTCTCACAGCTGCTGATATTCTCAACATGAAACTCCATGCCAAACTTGTTGTATTGAGTTCAGGATACACAGACGATAGAGCAGGAAGGATAAATTCAGACGGAGTTGTGGGACTTACAAGAGCTCTTTTATCAGCAGGAGCTCAGAGTGTGTTATATTCGTTATGGCCTGTACCTGACCAGGCCGCCAAACTGTTGATGAGGACAATGTATTCATCACTACAGGAAGGTCATCAGGTCACACAGGCTCTTTCCAGTGCTATTAAGTCTGTCCAGTGTACTAAACAGTTCTCCCACCCATCCAACTGGGGTGGCTGGGTCCTAGTAGGACATGATGTCCGGCTAAGCAGTAAAGTTGCACTCATGGGCCATGCCATCTGTGAAATCCTACAGTCACCTACTGCCTGCCGGGAGGCCATGAGAGTCCTCCTTCATCTGGTAAGTTATGTGTACTTCAGGGCAGATTCGTATATAAAGGGAGATAACTCCTACTGACCTTGTTAGTATAAAATTCCTTTCATTTGATCTTAACTTTACCTATGATTTTTACAGATTGAGAAATCACTCCAGAGAATCCATCAAGGCATAAAGAACTCAATGTACACAACAAGTCAGTCTATTGAGAACAAAGTAGGTGCTATCCCTGGCTGGAAGGACCTTCTTCAAGCAGTCGGCTTCCGATTTGAGTCGGCCAGTAATGGGCTTCCTCCTGCAGTTTTTTTCCCCCAGACTGATCCTGGAGACCGACTTACACAAGCTAGTGCTAGTCTTCAAGCCCTCCTAGGTATGTCTTCTTTGCGGTATGGTGTGTTAGACAAATTAAGTATGTTTGGTAATCCTTGCCATTTTAGAACAATATCCATATTTATGCCATTTGAGTGATTTTCATAGATTTCATATGTTAAGTGTTATTCAAGAACATTTGAAAAAAATAAGTATATAACAAAAAATTTGTGCCTTCTGAGATTAAGAAATTAATCATTCATCTTTATGTAAATGTATTTTCATTTTCATTTTTATCATTTTTAGGGTTACCTCCCAGTTCTCTGGCAGCTCTCTCTAAGTTTTTATCCAACTACGAAGCAGGAGAGGCTAATATCCGTGTGGTATGTCTTACTTACTCACCTGTAGTATACCCTTCATACTACTTTTTTATATAAAAGCCTATTTAAACATTGTATAACATATTTAATATGTAACGAGTATGTGATGTGTTTTAATTAAGTATTATATTTATCTGACAATAACCTATGTCCTGTAATAATCCTACAGTTGAGATTATATCTTAATGGACGTCTTGGCTTATTGCAGCATATGTATGGTATATATGTATGGTTATTTACCTTGTACATAACATCATGAATTAAGGGATCCTCTACAGGAAGTAAGGGATCCTCTACAGGAAGTAGGGGATCCTCTACAGGAAGTAGGGGATCCTCTACAGGAAGTAGGGGATCCTCTACAGGAAGTAAGGGATCCTCTACAGGAAGTAAGGGATCCTCTACAGGAAGTAAGGGATCCTCTACAGGAAATAGGGGATCCTCAACAGGAAGTAGGGGATCCTCTACAGGAAAAATTATTATGTAACAAATACAAATTTCTGAAGTTTTATTAATTTAATTTTATTTATTTATCTAAAGATGAGAGACATACTAAGCAAAATGGCTGCCAAGGAAAGTAACATTGATGTGCAGATCAATGTTAAGTTGTGGGGAGTTCCTGGTTGTCACGAGTTTCTGGCATCTCTTGGTAAGTGTAAAGGGACTAGATGGGAATTGTGGGGAAAATTTATAAAGTTGGGCCAGCTGAAAGTATAATGGGGAAAAGTATACATTTATGTCTGACCAGAAATGTTGTGTGAAATTAGGCCAAGGCTTGAATTGTTGTTGGCAAATAAAAAGAAAGAAAGATCAAGTTTTAATTTTGAACTATGCACTGTAAGCGGAAAGCCCTCCTGGTTCTAGCCAGTACTTAAGTACTTAAGTCATATGTCTATTGATATTTACAGGACTTGATCTGGTTGAGGTTGGACAAGATGAGGTCACACTCCGTTTAGGGAAACAAGCCAATAGACGACAGCTGCAGTTTGCTTTACAAAGTCTTGTTGCAGTTTTTGGTAAGTTAGTTCAATAGACCAGCTTAATGTGTACCGTTTATAAAAGTGGATATCATTGATAGTTTTAGTGAAGTGTTGTTGAATCAGTTTTAAAGATTAAATAAGGATAACATTATTTGTTTTCCTTAAAGATTATGAAATATGTTAAGAAATACTTTTTCAGGAGGTGAGGGGTTTGACAGAAATTAATCTTACAATTAATTGAATATGCTTTAAGTTCAATTTTCCAATAGTAAAATGATAAGTAAACATTTGTTTCACCTTGATCTTGTTTTCTAGACACTCAAGAGGCGCCCAAATCTCTGTCAGTGGACAGCTCAAGTAGCCTTGAGAGTCTGTCCTCCTCACATAGCGGCTCCACCTCCACCTCAAACTTTTCCAAGGGCAGCACGCCACCCATCTCGCCCCGCGGCTCACGTAAAAAGTCACTTTTCAACCCAGCTGAGATGGAAAAGATGAGGATCATGAACAAAATGCAGCTCATGAACCAGGTGAGATTGAATTTCTAAGCTGTTTTTATCATGAAAGATGTGACTTCATTTGTCATCAAATTCTATGTTTTTCACGGTGGGTTGACATTTTCTTTTTCACACTCTTAGTAGAAAAAAAATTACAGGTTGGAATGAAATTCTTTATTTTTCTTATCATCATACTAATTTGTTTTCTACATGTTGCAGGGTGGATTGTCAGGTCGACAGGTTCACAGAAAGATTAAGAAAGCCAATGTATCTGACCCAGCTATGAATTTACAGCATCAGAGCCGTGTTCGCAACATGTATCCCCCAGGTTCAAACTCCTCCATGAATCTGGCAGGCGACATGAATGGTATTCAGGAGATAAGTGAAAACAGCGAGAGTGAGACCGACGGCCGTGACAGCTGGGACAATAGAATGCAGGTGTCAACGAACTCGGAGAGTGAAAGTAGTACAATACCGGAACCTCGGACAAACTCCGAATCAGACCACCAGGCTGGAGCTGATCAGTATCAGCTGGTTGAGGGAAAGGAAAAAAGTCCTGTTCTTATGACAGAGGAATATTCCTTGAGCAGACAAACAAGTAACCAAAGTGAATCTTATTCCTTTGATAGAGCAGATGATGTGCGGATATCAGCATTGTCATTCACTAGTAATTTAAGTGAAGATTCTGCTCTATTGGAGGAACAAAAGAGAAATTCTTATTCTGATAGTAGTCAGGCAGAGGACATGTTCAAAAGACATGATGGAAATCGTCAGTCAGATATGTCAGATACTAGTGGAATCAGTGATCAATTCATGGTGTCTCAAAACCAGAATTTACCTTTATCGTCACAACTGGACCCTGTGTTAATGTCTAGTGAATCGGGCATCAACTCAGAGGTGACTTCTTCAAATCAAAGTGACACGAGTCAACAGAGCATGGATGCTGTAAACTCACAATTTGATCCTCAGGAAGTTGCAATGAAAGTTATGAAAGACCTTGGTCCCCAGAAGGACATTCTGGAAGGATTACAAATGCAAAGTTTTCTAAAATCTCAGTCAAGTACACAATTCATGAGGCGACAATTTCAGAACTCTTCACAAATCAGCGCATTTACTAAACCCTCTGGTGGACCAGATCAGATACATAGTGATAAGGATGGTCACATTTCTTCTACATCACTGGTAAGACCCCAGACAGTGCCAAGGCCCAACAAGGTCCCACCTCCTGTTCCTTCTAAACCTAAAGGACTGTCAAAACAGATCACTACAGCAAACTATCAGGAGGACAACTCAACTCAAAATTACCCAGGAAGCTATTACAGTATGCAATCCCTGAAAGGTATATCAGAAGACGATCTGTCCTCGAGTAGGGAATCGCCTAGTGTGGATGACAACGACATTTCTTATGTTGTGACACGAAGAACAGTTCCTGCTGGAGGTGGCATGTCAGATTTGGGTCATAAGAGTATGCCTGATTTACGAAACTCCTCTCCAGTGTACAACAGAGGGGGGAACACTGGTAGTCCCTATTCAGGCAGTCAGATGAACTTCAGTAGTTTTAAACCTCAGGCAGCATCTTCTAAGAGGAATGTGAGTAGTGTTGTGCCAGGTGGGGCCATGCGACCAGACAGTGCCACAAGTACGAGTAGTCTTTGTTCTACTGGCTCTTCAGCCCAGTCAGTCATTCACCGTCCATACTTTAATTCTGTACCAGATCTCAATGGAATGTTCCAGAAACATGGCCTTGAATCTAGTGTGGAAAGTGTTGGTAACAGGAGGAGTCCCTCAGGTTTACCACCACCCTACAGTCAAGCAGTTCGGACAGCCCAGCTACTCAGGGGGCGAAGTCCAGTACAGCATAATACATACAACTCAAACAGTCGCAGTTCCACCCCTACTGGGGGTTCACGCACCAGTCCAGAAAGCTTGGGATCATCTCTTGGCAGTGGTCAGTACCATCAGCCTGATAGCCCAGTGTCTCAGGCCAGTGGTCAGTATCACAACATTTGTAGTCCATCGACACCCTCTAATGCCAGTCAAGATAACAATAGCATACCCTCACAATTTGGACAGTCATACAGTGTAGGGGCGAATAATCGTTATACAACTCACTATTCAGACTCTAAACCTGATATGCTACCTCTCCAGCATCATCAGCATATTTCCTCTACACCAAACTCTGTATCTCTGCCTGAGAGCCGATACTCCAGTACTCCCACAACACCAGTAACACCAGATCGTGATGACGTCTTCCTTCATGCCAGCAGTGGTTGTAATGTGACCTCTATTCCCACTCAAGGTCATATGTACCAGCACTCGAGCAGTAGCACATCATCATCAGTCTCACAACACCACCAGTACTACCAGTCGGGCAGTCCTGTGGCCTCCACAGCCTCAGGAGGTGGAAGTCCATTTCCCCAGTCTGCCAGCCCTACATCATCCACTGCCTCTCGTAACAGTCCATACCAGCATCTCTCATCAGGCAAGAAGACCAAATCTATCCTCAACAGTTCACCAGCCTCTGCCAGGGCTACCAGTAAAAAGAGACCTCAGAAACGTGTCAGTTTCTCAGATTCTGAACCCAGTGACTTAGAGGGTAACTCCCCTCACCCCTACCGTCCAATCAAGTCAGGCCCTGTCCCAGTGAAGGGCGTAGTTAAGTTGAATATGAATGACTTCAAAATGCCAAATTATCGTAATAGACAGCATCAGAATGGTGGCATACCTAAAGGGGCTGGTCCCCATAGTAACGGCTATGTCTCCCAGGGTTCTTTTTATCCTAATGGCAGTGTGTCTAAACCTCTTGTAAACGGTCATACAGGTCACAATCAGACATCTTTGTTCAGTAGAAAAAATGTGGCACCTTCCTCCAATGTAAGTAGTGTAAACAAACCTATTGGACTAAAGGACATGTCCAAACCTTCAACTGAAGGGGGACAACTCCCTGGGAGGAGTGTTTTTGGAAGAGAGAATAATCGTCCAATCAGGAGAACTCAAGTTGTGCAGTCGTCAAAGTGCTGATATTTGTGTACAGGTTTTCTGTTATGTTTGAGAACCGAAAACAAATGCAATTCATCTTTTTATGTTCTGTTTTTCTTAATGAATTTAACATAAAACCAGAAATCACACTTCACCAAATTTTACTGTCTTGTATAGCCCCTCAGTGTCTGGTTTTGTTTAGAATTTTAGAATTTTTATATTTCAGTTCATTGATCAATCAAGTGTTTGAGCCATCTTCTCGAAAGAAATGTGACTTTTTGTTTTGCATGAAATTAGATTTATCATATGACTAACATTTTAATGTGCCGATTTGAATGTGTATTAATGTATGTCCTTGTGTATATACGTGTAAGGATAGACTTTGTACATAGTTATGAAATGAATGCCTCTTTGTGCCAAACTTTTCATTTTATCCAGAGGAAAATGACATGATAGATATTTCAACCATTAATCATTGTTCTTTTTGTATCTTTTCATTACCTGGTTTTAATTACAACTGGTATGAAATTTTAACAGATATTGTTTCGAGCAACCATTTTTTTTTTTTTTAGTTTTTTATATTATTATTATGTAGGGAAATTCAACTGTGGAATCTATTTCAAATCAAAATTTGAATGTTTAAAAGATTTTAATCCAAGGTATCATGTATTAAATGAAATGATAACTCCTGACATATTTTAGAGAACACAGAAGTACGACCCTTTAGTTTGAGCTTTAAATGAAGGTGTGGTGTTCCAGTAACACTAATCATATGCATAATAATTCAAATGTTCATTAAGAACAGTATATTACAGAGGTATGGAATCTATAAATGTACCTGTGATGAAAACGGGGATAATAATTGATGTTCTGACCAGGTGTCTTTCAAGTTCATTACAGGTGTGAATGATATAGCCTATTGAATATATTATGATAATCAACGAAAAAAAAGGTTAGCAATATACAGAGAATGAATATGGATGTGAAGGCCTATTTTTCTCTAATTAGTGGAACTTGGTCTATAAAAATGGGATTGATGTCCTTCTGTGCAACAAAATTGTGAAAAAAATACATAAAACATTGATTTAGTGTGGTCTTTTGTCTCTAAAACATCTTAATATGCTACTTTATATTCATCCTGTAAAAACCTATTGTAAAAAGCAACTATTTGTCCATTGAAACCTTATGGTAATTGTATTTATCCAGTAAAACAATTTTATATTACCACCAAGTGTAAATTTTGTTACAATGCTCCCATTTTAATCCATAAAGCCTTGTGCAGATACTGCTACTTCTCGAATAAAACCATTTGTCAAGTTAATACATTATACTAGAATTCTTGTATCAAGGGAGACAAAAATGAAACATTATGTAAGTAATACCTTGTAAACCTATCAGCCTATATGGTATTTCATATTAACTTTTCAAAAAAAATGCTTAATAGTTGTTTATAAAGAACTCTTTTGTTGGAAAGATTAATCTTGTATATAGAAGGTGGCACATATCCTTAATACAAGTGAAAAGTAAAAAGATGGTTAAGAGCATGTTTAAAATCCTTGCTATGATTCCATATCTTGTCTAGTAAACCCTTGATAACTATGATTTTAATGTGATGTTTCTGGTATGATAAACAGTTTTAATATATATTTAAGTGAAAAAGGAGAAGTGGAAGATGGGGGTGGATGGGGGGGAGGGGGGAGTAAGAAGATAAATAAAACAGAACCTGTATTAAAAGTTAATTACCTGGATGATGGATTATAAGTAAATTTAGTATAATCAAGATTTTGAATAATTTATTTTCCATTTTTTCACTCTTGTACTGTCTTGACATTGAACTTCAGTTTTAACCTGGATTAATAATATTGAGAATCCAAGAAGAGTTTGTATAATCATAAAATTAATAGTCTAGTACAATTAATAAATTTACATTATTTAAATTTTTGGAATAAAATTGTCTGGAAAAATGATACATTGTCTTCTAAAGAGGGACACATGATTGATGCTATTAACTGGTTATATATTCAAAATAATCAGAGTACTATTATTTTTATGACCACCTATAGCATAAAGTTATGTGATGAATCAAAAAGTTTCAGTAATTTTTAGTACTCAACATCTATCACTATAACATGGTGACCTAAAGCAACCTACAGGTGACATCGTCATTTAACAGTTTTTATAATATATCAAATCTCATAGTTTGAAATAAAGTTAATTATTAGACGTAAATACTGGAGTTATTCATGTCAGACTAAAACATTTCATGTCTATAAAAACCAATAACAAAGTGTTCAGATAGTGGTTAGTGTTGTAATATTGTCTATATAAACCTATCCTAACTTATTGTAGTAGTCCCGTCCCACCTTTAAGTTGGGTTTTAGATCTTTAGAGGTGTCAGGGTTGGATTGATCTGTCACATAAATGACATAATATTACTGGTGGTTATATGTGTGTATTGTTTTCCATTGGCTACAGTGTAAATATCATGCTGACCTAACTTTATTGGAGCTATGCATTCTATAATATTTTATACTATATATATATATTATATAATATACTCTCAGTGGTTCATTGAACTACAGGAGAATTTCAAAGCTTCCTGTCTAAAGGAAGATAAAATAAAACAAATAAAACCATACTGTCTGATGTTATTTATTTTACAACTATTGTACATCTTGTTAAAACTTGGGGATTTGCTGCTGTAAGAGAAGAAAAGAAATCCAATCTACATACTGATTTCTTAAAATTGTTTTGGTCACCAGAGACAAAGTCTGATAGGGACCTATTACAATATGCTTTGTACATTCCTTGTAAGACGTGGTCCCTTCATGAACATTTAAAATTTTTGTCTTATTCTGGAAAACCCCACAACTGATTTCCATAACACTTGGCAGAAACCTTCCATGGCCAACAGTTAAGAAATATTACTGTATATGGTTCCCATCCCCAGGGGCCTGAGGAGCGAGCCCTAAAAGGACAAATTGACTGAAATTGAAAAGAATCTTATCTTACCCAAATAGGTAGAATAAAATACTCTTTGTGGATGGGAAAGGTCGTAAAGTGCTTTACAAAAATTGTCAATTTTATTGTAATTTTTCATCTCGAGAGGGTAAAGTTTATGTAGTAAAATCACATTTTTGAGCATAAGATTTTTATTTTTTATTGAAAATGGATCAAACTTGGTTAGAATTGTTGGTATCGTATGACAGCTTAATGTTAGGTACATATTGACCTTGGCTGACACCAAACGGCTGATGGGCATGGCCAAAAAGGGCCATGTTAACAAAAAATTCAAAATTCTTCTCAATATGGTGGAATCAAATACTCTCCGTGAATGTAAGTGCCTTAAGGTGCTTTACTCTGGCTGTCCCCAAGGGACTGATTGGCATGGCCAAAAAAGGTCATGTTAACAAAAAATTCAAAATTCTTCTCAGTATGGTGGAATCAAATACTCTCCGTGAATGTAAGTGCCTTAAGGTGCTTTACTCTGGCTGTCCCCAAGGGGCTGATTGGCATGGCCAAAAAGTATCAAATTGACTGCAATTTAAAAATCTTGTGATACCAGAAATATGATGGAACCAGATACTCTTCATGGATGGAAGGGTCTTAAGTTAAAACTCTTCTGTCCCTGTACAAACATCGGTTCTTATTTTCTCTTCTTTATACTACACTTTCATTCCAATTGTGAGTTCACTTCATGATAAAGTCATTTTCTTGGGGCTTTTTTTTTTTTTTTCAAAATTTAAGTATTCCCTTTCTTTCGATTTCATATTTCTACATTGCATGGAATAATCATATCGTGAACAAACATGAAGAATTCAATTCATTCTTGGGACCCATTTTGCACATAAATGTACCTGGGACATGTGTAGTTGGTCATGCAGTATCCCGTTTAGATAAAAGAAATAAAGAGTATTACTATGGTTTCCCATCACCAAGCCGTACAGTGTCAATGCTTTCTGGGTAGGTACAGGCCGTCCTGACCGGGAGTTATCTTCTAACCTTTCTCCACCATGCAAATAATCCACTCACATACTGTTAGATAGGTGTGGAAGAAGGGAAATATTCTCCATAAATGGTAGTCACTTGCTCTTCGACCTGTATGGCAGATTGAACCTCCAGGACAACAGTAACTCTGTCAAAGATGTACATTTGGTCAACTTTACCATCAAACATTTCTATCGATTACTCCACAACAATCTTCGTTTCTTTCCATGGAATAGGACAACCTACCCGACATACAGCGATACTAAAAAATTAATACCCTGTCACAGATATATGTACCTACCTACCCTGTCACAGATATATGTACCTACCTACCCTGTCACAGATATATGTACCTGCCTACCCTGTCACAGCTATATGTACCTGCCTACATGTACTATAATCACGTTAAGACATACATCCTCGTGAGGATGTGTCACAGACAAAGTAGACATGGATGCATTGTTCGAGCCGCAGACTACAAAAATTGATATTGGACTGAATGAGGAGAGTTTAAAAGCTGATAATGCAAGTTTAAAAAAAAAACAAGTAATGTTGTGACTAAATCACTTTTAAAAATGCTTATGAGACCTTCTCTTTATGCTAACGATATATTCCAGTCGTCACGTCTAAAGCAACCTTTATATAAGACCATATATTGTATTGCTATCATTTTTCTGTCGAGTAACTGAGGACCATTAGGAGCGGATCCTGGATTTCGCGTTAGAGATCAGTCATTTTCATATACAGATTCCCCCTGTCAGTAGCTGTGAAAGTTCACTTTTATGACCGCACCATCGATAAGATAAAAATCACATCTTTGGTCTTGTTGGTTAGTTGTTTGATTGGTTACAGCTGGACTCGTCCTACTCGTTTCCAAACAAGGCTTGAACTTAAATGTCTGTCACTTCCCGCGATACGTTAACAGGAAGATGTCGTTACCATAAGGGGCAGTGCTGAAACATTTCGGAATCAAATTTTTTCTCGTGTTCATTTTTTAGCAAAAATGTGAATTAAGAATCAGGGATCAGAAATAGGTTTATCACACAATCCATCTGTTATCCAGCGAAAATGCCGGTGTCTATGTCACTATTCTAATATACCTGGAGCGTTTTTCATGGGCGGCGCCAGTCAGAAATCCGTTGTGATATTATAATATGGACAGTGTATGACGTCATGAATTGAAATGGTGCAATAAAACTGCTACCTCCGTTTGATTTTGTCTTCTACATTTAAACCTGTCAAAATGTAACTCGCCATGAAGTTTTAATTTTTGCTTCTGAAGGCTTGCAATAAAAATAACTTCATTTAAGATACTATATGTAAATATCAACCTACCAGCATATAAAACAATATCGTAACAAAATTTGGAAAGGTAGGTAAGCGTGAGGTAGCAAGAAAAAATGCCTTTAGGCAGTCATACAAATATGTGCCAGAATGTTTTATTATGTTGCAGCATTAATTGATCATTAGTTT